CCTTGAGCGGGCTGCCCGGGTACCGAGGTGCCGGGATACCAGCCGGGCCGGGTGCCCCAGGTCCCCGTCTGCCCGTTCAGCATCCTTAGCTTGTCGTACATCCCGTCGGCACCCATCTGTTGCTTTTCGCTAGCCAGGTTGCGTAGGACTCTGTTTATCGACGACACCTGGAAGGCAAAGGACAGGAAAGGCAATGGTAGTGCGGTAGCGCGCTCCCCGCCAGGCACCCGCGCAACCCCCGCGTCCCCCCGTGCAGCGGGCGGCTCGACCTGGGCGCAAGTCAAGGCTTCCCTGAGCCGTCCCCGCCGCCCCGGCTCGCTCACTGCTGGTGGTGGTGGTGCAAACAAACAAACAAACCACGGGGGAGGGGGGGAAGAAGGGAAAAAAAAAAAAAAAAAAAAAAAAAAAGCAAAGGGAAAAAAAAAAAGCGCCCCAAACCCAACCCTGCAAAACCAGAGTGATGGCTCCGACTGATGCTTGCAGTCCTGAGGCGCCAGGCACAGGGGTGACCCGCATATTGGTTTTTTTATTTTTTTTTCCCCTCCTTAAAGGCATTTGTCAGATTCTGTATGAAAAAATGCGTCTGACCCTGCCACATGCAAATGATGTGAACCTGCTATCCTCTCTTCTGATACCAAAACAAAGGAAGCAGAGGCTCGCTACGGCTACCCAGCATTGTACACGGCACACAGGAAGGTTTTTTTCATGAACTTACACTGGGTATATTATCGTTGGTACAGACCCCCTCTGATAGTAATCTGTCTCGAATCTCCCACGCAAAGATGGAGGGGCACTCTCGTTTATACTGCGCTATTTTGCTTACAACTTCTGGAGTCGCTACTCTCGGTTTACTACCTCCGATTGCCCTGGGTCTGATGGAGCCAGTTTCGTAATACCTGCCCAAAATTTTACTCACACATCCATTCGACACCTGGATAGGGAAGCGGACAGAAAATCACATTATTAATAATTTCAAGACAAAAATAAAATTGTTTAAGTATGCATTAAACAATGACAAGCTTACGTTTTGATTGTCCAGCACTTGGACTTTTGCATCTGCATGGGTCTATAACACAAAAATATACCTTAAATGGTATGAGAACTTACTTAGAGAGTCTTTTTTTTTTTTTTTCTTAAAAAAAAAATTACATTCGTGGCCCTACCCTCTACAAAAGTGATACTTTAAAAACATTTGGAAGGAAAAAAAAATTATCTGGTCAAAACGTAATTCTCTTAGTATCAAGGTTAAAATACGCCTTAAATGCGAACAATAGGTAAACCAGACTAGTCTCCATCCTTCTCACTGCTCTTAGCCAAAGGACTTGAGGGGGAAGGGGTGAGTGAAGGGTTTTCAAGACCAACATTTACAAAATACCCCTGAACTGCGCCAGATTGCAGGAATGTCCGTAAGGACAGATTCCGAGCTAAAACGGCGTGGCTTTGAAGGGCTTCCTTTTATCTCTCTCTCTTTTTTTTTTTAGCTTTTTTTTTTTTTAGGTATTGTTTTGCTTTTTGGAAGAAAAAAAAAAAGGTAAAAATTAAAAAGTAAAAAACCAAAAACCAAAACGAGTAAGCCACGCCAAATGCATACAGATATCACAAAATCATAAGTAAATACGGGGGGGGGGGTACGGAGGGAAGGAGAGGAAACTGAAATTATGCCGAGCCGTATAATTCAGTTTATTACAGCCAACTAACTGTAAACGACAGTGCAGGTTATCACCGGATGGAAATAAGGGGGAACGAAAAGCGAAAAAACTGCGATATTTGAGAAGGCATATATATATCTCTCTATATATACGCATCGGAAGGTCTATTTGCAGCAAGAACCGAGCGGATGGATCGCTTTATTAGGCTGGAAGGCGGGTGGTGGTGGTGGNAGGGAGAGGGAGGCTCAGCCCGGCCGGGAAAGAGCAGAGCAAATACACCATTTACTTTGTGTATTGAGGGCTCTTGTGAAAGGCCCTGAAGAGTCCTTTACCAAACACTCACCAACTTCTCCCACGTGCCATTTGTTGACTAAAGGGCTGCCGGGCTGATTTTTTTTTTTTTTTTTTAAAGAAAGATCCCACGGCGGAGTTGGAGAAGGGCAGAGCCGGGCGCTGGGCAGTGCTGCCGCTTTGTGCCCGTCCGAAGAGGCTTCCCCCCTCCTTCCCTCTCCTTTTGCAAGGAACCCCCTTCACTGGCTGCCAGAAACTCGAGGGGGAAAGTAAGTAAATGACTTTGCTGCTCTGACCACACACCACAAGTACATTTGTTGAATGCCGGACTATTAAGACACACCTCAGTAAACTCTAAAGCAACCCCTCAGCGCATGCATTTAAGGTTACACTGGGAGCACCAGTCCGAGCTCAGGGTGTCCCAATCGGTTATGGCGAGTGGGCCGCGGGGAGGGGGAAGGGGGGTCTGCATCGGGAAAAACAATAAAAAAAGAAAGAAAAAAAAAAAAAGGCTCGGGGAAAAGAAAGGGAAGAAGGAGAAGAGACAGGAAAAAGAAATTCCAAGAGCCAACGCGGAAAGTGGAGAGTATGAACGCGCAAAGCATAAAATGAAGTCGTAGCCGCATACACTTGACTTCTCTTGACATGTGAAAAGTGCTAAAAGTCAAAGCTCATCAATAAAGTATCTTGAAATTGAATAAGAGCCCTGACAACCATTGCATTCTTAAATAAAGTACAATGAGGAGACAAACGACTCTGCCAAGGAGTTTGCATGTGAGTGAAAGGGCGCCTCAATGGGAGCGGGATAATGGGCTGCTCGGCCGTCATGCACTGTCATCCCCTGTCCCGCCGAGAAGCTGCCACCGCTCCCTAATAGCACAAAATGGGCTCTTAAGAGACTGCTGCCCGTCCCTGCTCCGCTCCCTTCCCTTCCCTACCCTGCCCCCGAGGCCGGGGTGCCCACCGCTCACCGCCCGGGCTGCGCTGGGCACCGACTCCCGGCCCCTTGTCCATCCCTGGAGGCTCAGACTGCGCTGGGCACCGGCCCCCGGCCCTTTCTCCCTCCCTGGAGGTTCAGACTGCGCTGGGCACCGTCCCCCCGGCTTTTCCCCCATCCCGGGAGCGACCCAAGCCAAGCCTTTCCTCGGAGGATGCGGGGAAGGGAGAGCGGCCGCCCTCCGGCCCGGGATGCAGCCGGCCCCACCTGCAGCTCTGCCGCCCTGCTCAGGCCTAGGGCAGCGTGCGGGGTTTGTTTCCTTTCGAGTTTGGCCCCGACCCGCGCGTTTTGCTGGCAATGGAGCCGAATATCGCGATGGACGCACGGCAGCGTTTGGGTGTGACGGGATTCCCCCCCCTGAAGGTAAGGGGGGCTCTGCCAACACCAAGCATCTCCCTCAGCCGGCAGCCCCCAGCTCCTCTCCTCTTCGCCAAAACTTTCCAAAGTAACATCCGCCACCAAGTTAACCTGCCCGCCGCGGACATCCTAACAGGGGCGCCGAGGAAAAAAATCAGAGAGGCAAAAGAGAAGAGGAGCAAAGTGCAGAGTGAAGTACGAACCTGTGCCCCGTGTGCCTGCCCTCCAGGGTGGGTGCCTGAATCCCGACGAGCAGTCCCCGTCCCCTCCTAGTTGCCGCTGGCCGAGGCCGGGCGTCCCGCCGCACGCATCCTGCGGGCGAGAGAAAGAGGCTGCGGTTTGTCAGCTCGCACCAATCTCGGAGGATCCAAAGGGATGTTAAAAGCTGGAATCTAGTCCTTTTTCTGGAGTGAAGTCAGTCGTGTCCGTGGCTTTTGATTTTTTTTTATCCTCCTCTTTCTGTTGTTGTTGTTGCAGGGGGTTTTTTCCCCTGTTGCACTCCCTCTCTAGCAAATAAGGGTTTTTTTTTTTTTTTTACTCTTGTCCACAGGGCGTTAAAGAGGGAAAAGAGGAAAACCACTTTGTCCGAAATTGCCGGCAAATATCATTTTTACAAGCTCTCAATTAGCCATCCCTTGGATTAGCACCTTCTTACGCCTCCTCGCCAGAATAAAGCAGCCGTAATCTTGTCGCTATTTCCCCCTCGGGCGCCGCGAGCTTTGTGTTCCCTCCTCCCCAAAAAAACTTTTAACGCCCCTACCCATCCGAA